TGTACTAGAAGTACGTGATTTGAACTATCGCCACTTTACACGTATCTTATTTGAAGGTAAATAAAACCATTGCGACCCAAAAACCTAGCAAATTCGACAAAAAAATAAAAATTTTAGGAACTCCCAAAGGGCCCGTATTCTGAGAATCACCCAAACGCGATCGCGGACTGAAGCTCTAGTCGGCTCTAGTCCATTCCTTCCTCCTGCCCGGGTGCCCCCTTGTGGGCTCCACTTTAGCGAACGGCAGCGGGGCATCATTGCCCCCCCCCTCCCAATCCACACTTCGAATCAGAAGTGAGAGGGAAGAGATTGCGCGCAAATGAAATGCACAACTGTTCATCCGTACTTATATCCCGAAGAATGGTACCGAAATGTAGCTGAACACTGAACACACTATTAAACATCACCCCTCAGGCCGTCTGTAGTGTACTTCACTACTTATTCCGAATCGAGAATTGCCCCGTATGGGCGCTAATTAACGTTAATCCTTTTAGCGTTACTTGGTAATTCTATGACAAAAATTCGAGACTAACGAAAATTAATTTGGGTGCGATTATTGTTATCGTCTATAACGTTAAAATATAACGAAAATTCCAAAGTTGATCCGCTTAAGTCATTAATATTACCGTTATAAGATCATAAATTCACGTATTGTTATAAAGGGAAAAACGTCAATATTCATGTTTGCGATAAATGGTAGGGCTGTTAACTCAAACATTAACATTCGTAAAATAATTTAATTTTGGTTAAGTTAGCACACCCTGCAGGGCCCGGGCTGTTTCGAAACAAAAAGGGAACTAAACAGGCCCTGTCGTTTTTCAACGGGATTGCTCAGGATTGCTTCAGATTGCTGAGGATTGCTAAAGATTGCTGAGGATTGCTACAGGTTTTCGCTAGATTGCCTGTATTTTTCTGGATTACCGCAGATTTTGAAGATTGCCTGGGACTTTTCAATATTTCGCGGATTGACGTGGATTTTTAAAGATTGCAATCGGATTGCTAGGCGGGTGTACACCGGATTGCCGGAGTTGAGGCCCCCTCGGCTAAAGCGCACTCTATTGGCTCGGCAGCGAATCTTTGGCCGCTGACGGTAAAGGGCGCTTTAGCATAACTGGCGACGAAATGTTGCGCGGGAGGTGCAGCCAGCAGAATTTCTATAATGGCACCCTGACCTTCCTCCCCCGAAACGTTTTAAAGATACTTCGAACCCTGATAGGGAATTTCTACACCAGTTGGCTTAGATGGCGCGTCTACCTGATTCTAAACCCGCATCCCGTTATCACTTGATCAGAAACTAACTAGCTATATGCACGCCAGATCACGTCTCACGTAACAAGCTGCGCGATACTCACGAAATACTGTTACGCTGCGACGCGCCTGGCGCACGAAACATACGCCTGCGGCGCTGACACCCGCGACGAGTTCATGGGAGGGTATGGGAACAGGGCCTTCCGGCCCGAAAATTTCACATACTTACAGCATTTGTCGGGTACTAATTAACTCTAAAATTAGGGAAATGAAACTTCTGCTGTTCTATGAAGGTTTTCATTGTGTGGTTTAAGTATTACTTCCGGTACAATTTACCGATTTAAGGCCTCTTTACGATTTAATGGAGCCCGGTCACGGTCAGCAGACGGTCATGTAAACGATAACGACCGTACCCGGAAAATATTTAACTTTGAAATGTCACAGCGCTTAAACTAACTTCGCAGGGAGAAACGGTTAAGGGTAACGTAAGGGAAACACAAACCGAACCTATTAGTGAAGTTTGGAAAGAGTCCATTTTTCAACCCCTGGCTATTTTGAAAACTGTTAGTGATACGGCAGCGAAAACATAACCATTGTGCTCGGCGTCAAAAGTTTACCTGAGCGACATGTGCTTTAGTCTCATGGGGGCCTTGAGTCACAACTAATACGTCATCACCGTAACCGGACCGTTCTCACCGTAACCGGGCTGACTAACCGTAATCGTTTCCGATACAGTAAACGTAATAGTAACCGGAACTTTAACCGTAACCGTAACTGGTGCCAATTTACGACTGTAGCTGTAACCGTTACCGTCCGTAGCAGTTAGAGCTGTGCGAATCGAGGTTTTTGCCTTCGAATCGAATCGAATCGAATTTCAAAAATTTTCTTCGAATCGGATCGAATCGAATTGGCTCAAAAATTTCGAATCGAATCGAATCAGTCCAAATTCGAGCCCGAATCGAATCAAAAAAAAAACGTTAACGCTAACGCTAACGTGAAAGCAGATGACTTACACGTTTAGCGTTGAGCCTTTACTCCAAACTCACACGACTCGAAACCAACAACTCAAAACGTGTTATAGTGCAGCAATGTGCACGGCGCTGGACGCGGGGCAGCGTTGAACGTGAATGGCGAACGCGGGGCAGCGTCGAACGCGAACGGCGAATGCTGGGCAGCGTCGAACGCGAACGGCGAATGCTGGGCAGCGTCGAACGCGAACGGCGAACGCGGGGCAGCGTCGAACGCGAACAGCGAACGCGGGGCAGCGTCGAACGCGAACGGCGAACGAGGGGCAACGTTCTTTATTGCGAACGCTGGCCGGCGTTATGAACGCGAACCAGCGTTTAACGCGAACGAGGGGCAGCGTTCAAACGCGAACGTGGGCCAGCTGCGTTGAACGTGAACGCGGGCAAGCATTGAACGTGAGTGGGGGCCCCGCGCGCAGCGTTCAGCGTTTACTCCTCATAACTCCG